GAATGAAAATGAGAAGAAAATGTGTCTCAAATGGGGACTTACATTAAACAATTACAATTTTTTGAATTATCAGTTTTTTTGAATAAAATATTATTAAAAAAATTCTCAAAATTTCAAAGTAATCACTTTTTCCATTTTTATGTTTCCGGAAACTGTTTTTCAGAATGACAAAAAGAACGCATTTTCAGAAATTTCAAAACAAACACTCAAAACACAAAACATAAAACAAATTTAAAACACAAAACTGAAACACGAAGAGAACGGCTCCTTATTTTCTTTGAAATTCATTTTCTTTCCACCTGTTTTCCACCGTTGCAATCAAATGGACCCTTAGTAAAACATTTTCTTTATACCCAAATTCCACATTTGCAATCAAACGGGTCCTAATATATACAAGATGAAAAGTTAGGAAATAAGCCCCTATTTGGGATCCATTTGTGTTTTTGGGGAAAATGTTGAAATAGTAATTTTTTTTATCTTTTTAAGAATATGTAGTTAAAAAATAAGAAAAATTTTGATTTTATGTGCATTATTATTTTATTAGAGAATGTGATTAAAAATAAGAGAAAGAAAAATGTATTAAAATTATAATGGAGCTCAAACAGAGGGTTAACGTAATTAAATAAAATTATCCGAAGAGAGCTTAGCCAATTCAAAATCCAAAAAAATAAGTTTTTTTAAAAAATGAATCGAATAGAAGCTAAATGTTATGTTATATTACACTGACTATCGTGTTCCTATCACGTTACTAATTTGTATCAATTTATAGACGACTCGACCCATGTAATGGAGTCGATTGTAAGACTCCATGACTATTACGTGCGATCAACCAGGCATATTTGCTATAGAATCAACCGATGGCTCGGAATCATATGCATATAAATCATATCATTCGTGTGCAGTTCGCAAAGTTTGATTAACTAGAAACAAAATGTGACTGTGTGGATTTAATAAAAATGCTCTATATAGAGGTTCCCTTAGCCTTAACGGCTGTGAATTATTAAATGATATTAAAAATTTAATACAACTTTTTCAGTATATCAAAATCTCTTTATAAATCGAGTGCAATTGAGAGTTCGTTTGGTAGAAGTTAAAATTGGATTAAAATTGAAAAATTAGTCGTTATTGTTGACTTTTATTAGTCGAGTGGGGCTCAATAACGACTACATTTTCAATTTTAATTGAATTTTAATCGATACCAAACGGGCTCTGAATAAAATTTACTTGCCAAAAACAAGTTGACCCATTTCATTAGTCAACGAACCTAAAAGTTTAGTCATTTCATCACTGTATAATGTAGATAAAAATGAGTGTTTTAATAGATTTTGATAAAAGTTTCATAAATATACGGTTGAAAAGCTGATAAAAATTATAGATTCTATAAAATTTATGATAAAAATTAGTTGATTTTAACTTAACTTTTTTAATTTACATCAAACTAGACTTACAATTATGATAGTAAACGACTCATTTCCTATGAATAGCCCACCACTAAACAACCGCCTTTCCAATTTTTGACTCAAGGGTGTATTCGATAAAGATTAAAATATGATTAAAATTGAAAAACTATCCATTATTATTGACTTTTATTAGACGAGTATGAATCAATAACGGTTATATTTTCAATTTTAATTGGATTTTAAACATACCCAAACATTGATTTCTTCGTCTACCATATAAAGTAATGTAAATTTGGATACACATTTTTTTTCTTTCCTATACAATATCAAAAGCCGTCTAAAAAGAGAGTGCAAAATTAAAAGAGAACAATGAGTACTCAGATTATAGAGCACTCATTTCAGTGCCATTTACGTCAATTTCTCTTATTATTTAAATGCCAACAGCAGCATCAAATTCTCAATGCACCAGCCGAGTCCAAGCCCAATTGTAAGAGATCGTTTCCACAAGCCATTTAGCACTTTAATGATTGAATACATCACGGATTTCACAATCTATCTACAATCGGTTTCACAAGCCAATCAAAAAGGGAAAAGAAATAACAAGAATTGCACACAAGAAATAAAGGGCTTTTCTTTCGTTTCCTTTCAAAGCAACTGAGTTATACAGCGAGTTGAACTCACTCATAACTCACATTTGAATAAATTATCACAAAGCAACCAACGGCTACTCCAAACAAACTACTTTTTGAACATTTAACATAGTACCATAAGGTCCATATTCACAGTTTCCCTCCAAACACCCAACAGTTTATAATACCAGACTGAAAATTTCAAGTTCCCACCATTTTACTTGGGAATAAACAAATCCAACCATACCCATAATTATTTGTGCTTCTTCTTCTCCTCCTCCTCATCATCCTCTTCATTATCATTATCTTTGTCTCTCTTTCTCTTTCCAGAAGATGTCGGGAGCTCCTGGGGTGAACCATCTTGGTCGTCTTCTTCGCTGATATCCTCTTCCTTTTCAGTATCTTCACCTTCATTTCCTCGGTCCAAGTGACTACCATCGGCATCTACCTGTATTTGCCCAACTGGTTGAATAAGGTACCCTGTGCCACAGTCTTCTTCCTGCCATTAAAGGAACCTCATTTCAGTTCGAAAAAACCAGGAAATTTTGAAGAAAAACAGAAGGAAGCTAGAATTTGCAGTAGACATCACATACACTAGCTACAAAAAGAAATGAACATCTTTAAACTTGCTGCGATTTCTTAAGAACAATCACAGAAATTTCACAAGAATTTATATACTAACTAATCAAAATCTAACAGGACTGCAGATTCCGGCACTTCAACCGATCAACAAGTTAAAAGAGTATGTGAAAAGAAAAAACCTAAACAAGGGAACGAATGCAAAACAGTTGAGGGGTCACAGAGCTACTGTCCTAGAAATAATGGCACCAAACATTACAGAAATCCACTCAAAAACAGACAAATTCATGGCCATTCAAACAACAGAAACATTTTCAACATACTAGGGAAACACGTTACATGACAAAATTCATTAAGATCGCATAACTTGTGAGAAAGATTCCACCAAAAATAACATGCACACAGCAGAATATCAATGCGTGCACTGTACCATTTCAGGAGCTAATAATCTTCATTTCTCTAAAAACTACCTAAAATACTAATGCAAACCAAGGTGCATCAATGTAAAACACAAGTGTGATACTGCAAATGCTTATACAACAATTTAGATTATTACATGCAAACTAGCACGAGCCAACTAATATTTACCATAACTTTTATGTATCAAAAAGCTAGTATGATTATTCACAGTTTTTAACATATAAAAAAAGCACATGGAATCAGATGCTCAATCAATAAAAACTAGAAGCATGGGCATGTTATCCAATCAGTAAGATCATGTATATAATTCAAGTCCAGCACCCCAAACCAATAAATGACCAAATATGGACGATATAATCACAAAGATAAATGGATCATCACCTCATCTTCATCCTCAAAGTCTCCATCCTCCAGATCTTCCTCTCCTGTCTCTCCGTTATCGTCCTCCTCACCCTGCTCATGCCCATCAATCTCTCCTTCCACGCCTATCAACCTCCCGTTACTATCAGGCTCCTCAAAATCGCCCTCATCATCATCCAACTCTTCATCATCTTCTTCATCATCCTCCACCCCATCTTCCTTGTCACTACTGCCATCTAACTCATGGACCTCCACCACATCGTCATCCTCCCCCTCATCTTCTTCATATATCTCTTCCACCGAATCGTCATCTTCCTCACTCTCATCACCCTCACCCTCTACCCTAAGCCCATTCGAGAGATGATGGGAATTGCTTGCACCACTTAATCCATTAACCCCTCTAGAAGTCTCAGTTACCTCCTCATCCGCATCACTCTCCTCGTCCTCGTCAACATCAATAACCCCATCATTCCTAGTTAGATACTCGTTACTCAAGCTAAACGGCCGATTCTCCCCTTCAATTTCCCCACTCCCAGCATCATCATCATCATCATCATCCGAGTCCTCATCCTCCGACTCAGGCCTCTCATTCCCCTCGGCGTCCATCTTATCCAAGTATTTCAAAGACCCTATCAACTCAAAAGCCCGCGACCTATAGTCCGTAACCCGCGTAACCGGACACTCGTAAAGATCCAGTGACACCAACCTCAGCTCCGCCAAAGGCCTCAAATCATTAACATCCGAAATCCTGTTATTCGATAAATCAAGATCAATCAGAAACTCTAACCCCGCCTCAACAAGGAATTCAAGGCCTCCAGAAATCCGATTATCAGATAGCACCAACTTCTGCAAATTCCGAAGCCGAGGAAACTGCTCAAGAGACGAAAGGCCAATATTCGCTATAGACAGATGCTGGAGGTTGCTAAACTTCTCGAAAATCGACGGCGGCGGTAACCGGCCGTGAACGCACTTCGCTGCGCCATCAAGGGTTAACGTCCGGACAGATGCGACGTCGTTTTCGCCGTCTAATGCCGTCTCCACTGCTCTTTCCCAGATCTCATCCATTAAACCACCAAGTCCTTTGCTATATATGCATATATGTACTTATAATTATCTTTTGAATTTACCCAAAAATAAAATCTACTGATAGCTTACAAGTGAGAATTTTTCTTTTTTGGATTTTGCTGGGGGGAAAGCTTAGAAGTTATGACCCTAAATTAATTTTTTCTCTCTCTAGAGTTTTATCTCTCTAGAACTTTCTGTGCGCTCTCTGTAGATAATATTGAGCCTGGAGGCGACGAGTGAGTCGAGTCCGAGTTAGGGTTGAGTTGAGTTTGGCCGGGTAGCACTTTATACGGAGTAAATAAATTGTGTGGTTTGTTGCTACAGCCATTGGGGGCCGTTCGATTCGAGAGGTCCGGATTGATGACATGGAAGGAGATGAACGGTGAAGATTTATGCATTGTGTGTTTGTTTTGGAGGTTGCATTGACATATGTAACATGAACATTGATGTATATTACGTTAGTGCCATCGTCTGTGTCCTTACTAGACAAATAGCTAGGGGTGGCAAATGGACCGGCCGCCCATGCTCTTTTCTGCCCAACACACTAGGTTTCTTCATTTATTTTGTATATACTGAATTAAAGAAAATATCATATACGGGGTAAAAAATTAAGGAAATTTAACATAATTAAATAAATAATATTGTTATTTATCATTATGATGATAAAACACTGATGATATGATAATTTATGTGAGATAATGAGATTGAATAATCCAATTTTTAAGAAGGGGGAATGGGAGAAAGAGAAATGTGAAGGATAATGAGTTGTTACACAATAGAGCATGTGCTTAGGCAAGTCAATGGGCTTTACTTGCTGAGCTCGCCTAACTGAAAATTTAGGCTTGAATTGATTGGTCGAAATTCGAGCTCGAATCATACCATGAACTTGAGCTGTAACGAACCGAACCGTTCGTAGGGATGTTAATGGGGTGGGGCAATTCCTCGTCCCATTACCTGTTTAAGGTAAGGCGAGACTCTTGCCCTGTTTAATTATTATTATTATTTTTTAAATTGAAAGAGAAGGTTAGGTTTCTTTCTGCCTCCTGTTCACCAGCACATGTATATAGTGTCTACATCTTTGAATATACTAGTAAGACGCACGTGCAATGTACGTGCTATAGTATAGTTGGCTATATGATAATATAAATATACAAAAAAAATTTATTTGTCTTAAGTATTAGTTATATTAAACTTAAAACACTTGAAATGA